GACTATTGCCACACCATGGTCAACCAAGCGATCTAGTCCTCTAGTGCCTTAGGCAAAACAGTGGTGTACAAACGCTTTCGCAATGGAAATAATACGTTGTGTTTTTACGAAGGATCCATCCCGATGTGTGCAAAAACGGAGTCCGTGACTTTGGACAATATGTGGAGAATAAATGGATAGTTGTTAAGCGGATTATTACGATAGCCGCGCTTTTACATGGGTAAAGTCACTTCTGTTGACATAATTGTGAAAGCATAGTGCTGTCTAACATACGTTGAAATATGATGGATTCGTCGTATAAATGAGGCGTGAGCTGAAAAGCTGGAAAGCACTGGACAGTTGTTTCGACCTGGTTGGGTCTCGTCCGCAATGAGAATCCATCGACCCAACTGGGAATCGAACCCGGGACCTCACATGCAGAACCGACTAGAGCACCGGGCCGTTTCTAATTTTGTATATACACGATATGGCACAACCCATCTATGCGAGCTTGTTGCGGGTATCGGTCATCGCTCATCTCAGCAGTAGCTCCAGGGTTATGACTCGGTTGGAAACGTCGCATTTACACGACGAATCCATCAAATGAACAGATAAAATTCTCCATTAATCACACGCTGAAAAATTTTACCTGATGGCTCAGCTATGTGACTTGACAGAGCGACAGGGGTTTGTGACTACGTTACATCTGCCGTGAGAAGACTTTTTCCGAAGCCATAGTTTACCCTTCACATTTTCTGACGGAAAAATAATTATTATTCTTAATGAGAGAGGAGTAAAAATGAACACTTGGTCATATTGCCTTTATAGCATTTTACCGGTTCCCTTGGTTGCATCGGAAGCATGCCATATAAAACCTAGCGTTGAAATCACAAACTCGACTGGCTTTTGAGGGTGTACACAAAACAAAGATAATCGATTGCACCATACACTAAGTGTTAAGGAACGAAGACGGTATGTGCGTTGCGTGATTGTCTTGAAGTGATAAAAAGCGAGGGTTTAATAGTTTGCATTGGGATCAACAATTGTTCGAGTGGATTTCGGAGGGGAGGACAGGAGGCCCCAGTGCTCCCAATGCAAACTGATAAAACTTCTCCTTTTCCGTTTGTTTAACAGTCACTGAATGAGTTTTGATTAGATAGAAGAACAACCCCTCAACCCGCAGCATTCGAATACGATTAGCATGAATTTCCTCCATGATGTAATCGGAGGAAAGTGCGTGTATACCTGAAGGAGAGCACACGAAACTGATCTATATTCACTCTTCTCAAATTGTTCATCCTGCTCTAAATGGATAAGCGGGAAACAACGTCCCCGACGAGAAGTGTGTGCAATGTGACTGGATCAAGTAGCAAACGACACCCTGAGTATCATACTGCAGTACTCAATCGGAAGAAAATTGATAGGAAAGCTCAAACGACGAACTGCTAAATTCCCATCCTGATCTTCTTGCCAGAAGTGTATGTGTGTGTGGAAGCGAACAGCAAACCTCGTCTCATAATCTAGACCACGTGTACAAAAAGCCATGATTTAAGTGGTCGAGAAATGCAGAGCAAACAATACAATTTTCATGTGATATAGTGATGCACAGATCACGTGTTTTGGTGCGTGTCAACTTACTCGGGTTGGGATGGTTCGCGTAGCACTGGTTCTGATTCAGAACCAACTGTTTTCGGGCTAATAATGCACGAATCAGTGTGTCCGTCTGCTCGAGCCTCATAAATGACGGACGAGTGCACTGTGTCCTGCGGTTCAGCTGAACCGTTCTCGTGATTTTTCGGAGTGAATAATTTGGCAAATCTGTGGAAAACCGGGAACGAGGAATTCATACAGATCTGAGGTATAATCACATATCGACAACCAGATATGCTACCCACCCTTTTCCGGCAACAACTAAGATATATTATATTGTCACGAAGGTTACGAACAAAGGTTATCAGGATAAAAAAATCGTTGTAAAGCAAAAAAGAATCGCAGTGAGTTACAGTAATGTTATATCTGCGTGGCAGGTTGGTAACAATTTTTATTTGGTTCTGCTGCTAAAACGTAACACGATTACCGTAATTTACACTCTTCGGGACGAGTATAGTTGAGCTGTGTAGGCTCGCCGTTCGTTGGAAACCACACCATCGTCGCTTCCCTTTGGATATCGCTGGGGTCTCATATATTTCGCTAACTCATGTCCCGGGGTTTAGTTTGACCCTCGGTAGGTTTCTGTGACTATGGCGATGGTAGCCGAGTAATGGAGGTCACTAAATTATCTCCCCGAAGGTATTAGAATCTCACTATCACCACTGCCTGACCTTCCTCCATTTTGTGTTATATGGCAGTCCTTTCATTGAGCGCTTCTCCTTTTTCCTGAAAATTGTACCATTATATATTCAATAAAAGAAATTAAAAGCGAAAAGGAAAATGCCCCTCTACTGCTCATCACACAACACAGTGCAAAAAATCTCGAATGGTCACAACTTTTATTCCCAAACAATAGGTTTACGTTAAACTTCAAAAAGGGAAAACAAACATTATTCTTATTATTACTATTATCTACGACATTCTTTGCCTAATAGAGAATGTTCTTTTGACGGACGAATATGTATTGATCGAATTCAAATTCAAGTTTGATTATATACTGCCTGTTGTCAACAGCACGACGGGATAATGCATGATTCACGACGTTGGTTTATCTCCGTCAGTTTTAGCCGACCACTGGCAACTAACACCCTGCTCACTGGTCATCGTGCTTTCTTTGTCTTTTCGTTTTACACCTTGCTCTGATCGAATTTTCAGGAAGTGGGAAACGGTAAATCAAATGGTTACCTTACAACACAGAATGCGGAAAGTCAGGCGGTGGTGGTGGGATTCGAACCCAAGTCCGCAGAAGCGATAATCTGCTGACTCGACCACCACCGCCCGTGCTATTTATTCTTCCTGGATGGGCTCGATCGTTAAGAACGATTGTTCTGTGGTTGGGCCATCGTAGAACCGTTAGCTATAAATTTCCGGCCGTGCTGCCATTGTCATATTGTTCACTTCGGGTTACTTTGAGAATTGTCTTACTTTATAGTTCTGTAAACAACGATTGCGCAACTCTTCGCAAGGGCTCGGATCTTACTCCGATTGGTTACTTTTAACCTCCGTGAATAACTTTTCATTATATTATGGGAAAAACGGTACTTGTCGGAAAACAGAAATTTACATGCGAGCATTGAAGGGACTAGTTTTCTTATTATGCACCTTAGTGTGACGAACAGAAGACGTGTTAAATCCCATGGTCAGGAGGACCTGCCGTTCAATGATGGAAACCGGCAACCTAAGCGCCGGGACTTGGAGTGGCGAAACACATTAGGTCCCTCCAGGTTAGGCGTGGTATTGAACTAGACTACACCAAAGTTGGGTGGCGGTGGCGAGGCTCGAACCTCGGACAATAGAGTAAAAAGCACGTCAGTGACAGCTTCTAAACCACTATGCCACTATCACCCAGAGTGTTTGATAATAATTACAATCACACGCTGAGATATTCGAATCGATATTCCATCACGAGATTAGTTATTAGTATTCTTGGGATTTATTCGTTAGCAGTTTTAAGACCCATTTTGTTATCTTATCGGTCCGCATTGACAGACACAAGAGTCAGTGTACACATAGCATTCATGCGTCTTGCTACAAATGATTTCGTTTTGTTCCGACAGTATTTTATGTAATAGCCGCCTTATAGCCCAAGTACAGGTTACGGCTCCAAACCCGAGTGTTCGCGGATCGAGTTCCGGAACGGAGGTACAAATTATGCGCATCGCTGATGATTCTCAACAAAGACAAAACAACTGTTGAGCTCTTCCAAAAACGATCTTTTAATAAGGTCTATCTTGGTTGTTGATGATGTTTATTTGGATCAGGTGATCAAACAATGATAGCGTCTGATATCTTGTATGCTTTGTTTAGTTTTTATGCAATACTATTGGTGGGACTGCAAACAGGTTGTTGAATGAATCTGTGCGTACCCGCCTACAACATAATTGGGCCATAATCCGGTAAAAAATCACGTGAGCGACACGATGACCGATACGAACTGCGCGTGCGTGTAAATTGGGCCACTGATCAGCCGATGATTCTGATAAACAGGATTCACACATTCCGTACAATTTATTTAATCAGCTGACTATTCTCGACATGTTGATACTCACTGCATGATGAGTGAATAAAAGGAATATTGAAAGAGGGGATAAGTCAGTGAACTGGTGGTAAAGACAGAAAATTAATTACCACAAATCATCACACAATAATTATACCGTATTCAAGTAATTTCGCTATTATGATCTGTCGCATATTCAGTTCACTCTGGATAAAAAAACAGGCCACTGAAGCAGTGTCGGAAATTCGAAAGACGGAACAGTGAAAAAGGTAACTAAACTTCATAAGTACGGAAAACTTATTGATTATCACGAACTTTATTGCTGCAAAAAACATTTCGGGGGACCGTAACCGAATACATTGAGTTTAGAAATCCCACCAGTGATATCAAAATCTTGTGCATGAGTACGTGCGTTNCATAGAAAGTGTAAACCGTCACTGTACGATTAGAGTGGTGTAGCTCCTTAATTCACTGTTATAAAAAAAAACAGATGAAACTTGTTACGCGGATAAGCACATCTTTCCTGGAGGGCAAATCGGATCAATTTTTGCCATATGTAGAAGACTAAGTAGGCGATTGTCTACGTGAAACACCTGCGACGCTGCTGTGAACTTCGGCTATTCACGAAGCTTATGCAGCAACAAAGCGATCGACACATGGTCGTCATGGGAAGAGACCAAACAAAGGCTAGTGATGTTTCCACAGCGATTTCTGGGCCGCACTATACGCGCCTATTGCGACAAACGGATAAACATCGCCCAGGCTAGACGCACAGTTTCAGTTCATTTGTATCCAAGCTCGGATTCACGTGCTTGATCTCCATAGCCGGCGGTGGCTGGGGAACACGTTCCGCATATCAGCGGAAACGCTTACCGCCTGCATTGGTTAATCCAGCTCTCGCACGTAAACTTATCCAACCGTGAATTCCAGCTTAGGTGACTGAAACTTCGATTCCCTTCTTTTAACCACAATATTTGTACTGTTTACCGTTCCTTGAGCAGCGGCGATCCTTCTATTTTCGATATTCTATCTTCCAACATTGAGACACCAATGGCGGCAGATCCTAACAGCCAAATTATCATTGTCGGAGATTTCAACGTCCGCAACAAGGAATGGCTGAAGTACTCGTCAGACACTACGTTCATGGGACGCGAGACCGAGGCTTTGCTGCGGTCTACAACCTAAGTCAACTAGTTGACCTCCCCACATGTATCCCCGATTGTGTTGATGACAGCCCCCACACCCTTGACTTCATTCTCACATTCACTCCTTCTTCGTCCTTCAACATCACTTCCTTTACCCCATTAGGCTCATCGGAACCTTGTCTCGTTTACTTTCTCATTCATTTCTCTCAGGCCATTTTATCATCCAACTCCAGATGCACCTTTTTGAGCTACGATTCAGCTAACTGGGACGGTTTTCGTGACTTTCTGACTTGTTATCCCTGGAAGGATTATTGTCTAAAATGATGATTCCACGTCCGTCTCAAACGTCACAGAAATTGTTATTCGAAGTATGTATCTTTGTATTCTACAATTTTTCAAACCCGGCAAACCACATTCCCCTGAGTGGTTTAATCATGCATGTAATCGTGTCGTACATTTTAAAAACTCAGTAATACGTAGTTGGCACCACTCACCCAATCCAGTATCTCGCAACCGCTTTGTGCCAGCCAGGAATAAATGCTCGCTCATCATGCAGAGAGTTAAAGAAAACTTCATTTGTCACAAGGCTACGCGTGTGAAGTGAAGCTGAAACACTGCTTGTGTGGTAATGAAATACCATGAAGTTAAACTGGTGTTTATATTTAGCTCGTCTAGGGAAAGCAATGATTCAGTTCATAGCGGAATTCGGGAATGCGGACATGAAGGGTAAATTTCATCAAATAAATAAGCGACAAAACATTAAAAATGGAAAATAATCATCGGAAAATCTGGGGTGACTTTTAGCTTGGTACTTCCGGGACATTGTAACAACGCCATATATGNATATATGTACACGGTAATCACGCATGGATCGAAGAGAAACATTGTAGGTATGTTTAGGTGCGCAATAAAACCAGGAATTAAGGGTTACATTGCAGACAAAGAAAGCCACCATATTTCAAAAAACAGCGCGATAGTGCCTGGGTAGGAAAAAAACTGGCGAGTAATTAAGTTGTTCCCGTCTAGACCTGTTTTATTTTTCCGGCAAGGACTACCGTTAGATTGGCAGGGGCAACCACAAACCAACTGGAAGCGCGTGCTGGCCGAATTACTTACAATGCCCAAATTCTACTCCGTTTCCGTGGTCCTCCTGAGCGTTGGGCCATTTGGCGTTGTTGTAATTCCATTTGTTCCGCTTTCAGCGCTCCCGTCCAACGAATCGCATCCTGCAACTCACACAATTGTTCCTTNGAGCCATTTCGATGCGTGAGAATCGCTTGCGCAAGGCCATTGGAGTTTCCGAATTCTGATCACGAAGGAAAGAAGAGCATGTGTGAGAGCGAAATACATTACAAAAAATACATGCATACGACATAAGCGTGGACAAAAATTGAAAAAGATGCA